GCATTGCTCTTAAAGCTATTGCCAATGCCAACTCTCAATTCATGTGTGGATAAGGAAGAATCTTAACTGTTAGCACTAACAATAAAATGCTGGAGAGTGATTGCCTGAAACTAGTATATTCTCGTCCGTTCAGATTCATCCACACCCAATTTTAGCCGTCTAGTTTTATTCTCCACTTTTTCCAAGTCAAAATCACGATTCTCTTGTTTGTTTCCAATAAATTCAGATTCTCAAAAACACCATCACATGCTCACTATGTCCTCCTGGATAGAAACTCGCTCAACCTAAATATATTCATTATAAATTTTCTTAACATTGATAAATTTTCTTAACATTGATAAGTATTTTACTACAAACTAATAAATTTTATATTTAACAATATTATTTAAACATAATTTATATATAAAAATTTGATATAAAATAATGTGGATGTTAGCACTAACAATAAAATGCTGGAGAGTGATTGCCTGAAACTAGTATATTCTCGTCCGTTCAGATTCATCCACACCCAATTTTAGCCGTCTAGTTTTATTCTCCACTTTTTCCAATTCAAAATCACGATTCTCTTGTTTGTTTCCAATAAATTCAGATTCTCAAAAACACCATCACATGCTCACTATATCCTCCTGGACAGAAACTCGCTCAACCTAAATATATTCATTATAAATTTTCTTAACATTGATAAGTATTTTACTACAAACTAATAAATTTTATATTTAACAATATTACTTAAACATAATTTATATATAAAAATTTGATGTAAAATAATATGGATCGTACTTTTTATTCATGAAAAATAAAAATTTACGTAATTATGATTTTTTTTTTATACCCAAATACAATAATTAGTAAAATCTACTTTTATTTTTATTTTTTATCTATTTGTATGTGTATATATATATTGTTTCTCAATATTCAGAGAGTATTGAAATGTGTTAAATAAGTCATATTTTTTGTTTAAAAAATTAAATATCAAGTCAAATTTTTCATTAAGAAAATTTAAATATTTTTTTAGGCATATTAACTTTTTAATTAAAAAGATATTAATAAAGCCATACTAATGAGAATAAATAGAAATCAATTGCATATCACTTTTTCTTCTTTTTTTTTGAGTGATTATTTGATAATTTTCGAGCATCATTTCTTACTATTATTATTTGACAAATGTCAAGTTGTCTGTTAAAATGCCAACTAAAAGTACTGAATTTTATTTTTTTATTCAATGAATGTCAAGTTAAATTACCATATGAATTTGCTCCAGCACCATCAAAAAAAAATTATTTTATATTTTATTTTATTTTATTTTTTGGAATTCCGTAGCTCACATGGGAAATTAATTGGGAGAAATTGCACTTTTGCAAGTTTCTAAAAGAAATTACAAATTAATAAAAGAATTTATCAATTTTAATATTCAAAATTACAAAAAAAATTCATAAATTTATACTGTAAATATTTTATAGAAAAACCAATTTACCATTTTTCCCAATCAATTGCCTGCGAGGGAGCTTCTATTTGCACATCCCTATTCCCTTCTTTGCATACACTTAATAATAATTATTTTTATTACAATTTTATTTTCAAGTGAAATTACTATTATGGACATCAAATAAACACATTCGGAAGTTGAATGTTGAAAAAATGAAAAAAATTTAGAATTCTACTTCCAAACAAGTTTATTTTCGAAATGCTACTTCCGAACCAATTGTTTATTTTCAGAATGCTACTTCCGAACCAATTATTTATTGAAAAAGATATGTATAGAATGTAATGGGTGTGTGTAAATAGAAGCTCCCTCAGCCTTGGCGTTTGCTTCTTTTGCATTTACTTAAAGCCCCTGTACTTGTTGTTGGAAAAAAAGAAAAAGAAATAATAAAAAATAAAACATATTTAAAAAATTCTCATAATTTAATTTGAATAGTATTAATTTTTAATTAATTATACACTTGTTAGCACCATAAATCTGCAATTTTATTATTATTTATTTTTATATAATTGCAGGACACATGGTATCCTCCTACTCATTTGGAGGTTATGAGAAGTTATGAAATGTGGAAAGATGATGGAGAACAAAATGGAGAATATGGAGCATGAAGTGAAGGTTGAAGGAAGTTATGGAAGATCATGGAGTATGAATGGAGGAAGTGGAAGAGTGGGTAGTTTAAGTAATTTTTTCCTACAAATATTTGCCTATAAATAGCCATTCATGGCAACATTGTAAAGATCTAGAATTCAAATCAAAGATAATTGATTTCAATATTTCTTGGTATTTTTCTTATCTTAGGAGTAGTTTAACATAGATTTATATTTTGAAATATTTATTTTCAGTATTTCCTTTCAAAGCATTTTATGCACTTCCTTTTCAAAGTATAGAAGTAGAGGTAAGTAATTATTACTTTGATTGTTTACTCAATCATCTTTCTCCATCTCCCTCTTTCTTCTTTTAATTTTGCTTTTCTCTACACTTGGCAATTTTGAAGTCCTCTTTGTTTAGGCAAAAGAACTGTCAACGCAATCGTTTGATAATTGGCTTGAATTTAATCTGTAAAGATTTTTCAATCCTTACTGGCATGCTCGCATTTATGATATTTTCCTTTATAGGAAAAATAAGCCAACAATTTTTGGCACGCCTAGTGAGACTGCCAAGTGTAAGAAATGACAAACGATTTGGATTTCGCAATTCGAACTTGTCAATATGAAATATATTGGCGTGAAAGAAAAATTTTGGATTTTCAAGAAAATATCTATTTTCTTGATGAAAAAAATTTCCAAGTTGTTTCTTCATTACCATATTATTTGGTAAAAGAAAAAATACACCATTTAATTGAAGTAACTCATCAACTTGATGTAGAAATTTGTCAATGGAGACATGAGTTATTAACCCTTTTTATCAAGTCTTTAATGACTGAATTTTGTGGGGTTTTACAAAATGTTTTTAAGTCATTTGTGACTAAAATTAGTGAAAATGTAATTTCGTCAATGGTTGGGGGGTAAAAAAACCCATTTTTAAAAAAGTCAACTTATGAAAATAACTTTGATAAAAAGCATGTTGTTGAGCCAAGCATGGTTAAAAATGATGTTCCATATAGAGCTCGGGGGGTTGAAAAAATCATTCTTAGAGAGTCAAACCATGGAAATAACATGTCTATGAAGGATTTTTATAAGCCATTAATGGCTAAAATGGAACAAACTATTAGGCCAAAAAATGATTAAACTCACATGGAGGGTTTTCAAAAGCCATTAGTGGCTAAAATAGAAAAACAGTCCCATTTGTCAATAAATGATGAATGTTTTTTGGCTAAAGAACATGTTCTCAACCCAAACATGGCTAAGAATGATGAACAATTTAATGTTCATGAATTTGAATTTTTTACAATTGTTCAAAATATCAAGTTGTTTGAATTTTTAAGGCCATCTTGTACTATGGTTCTTGGTGTTCAAAACCTGCTTTGGATTTGTGGATCACACCAAAATATAATTCTGATGATGTGGCTAATAAAATTAACAAATTGTTCTTATGAGTTCGAAGCACTAAGAACAGGGGATGACCATTTAAAATGCATGAACTTGGTTAGGAAAAGCCTATGCATTTAAATAAGTGGTTGAGAATGGCTTATCTTTTCAAATTGATGGTTAGTTGTTTGTATGCACACAATCAAAGCATCGAAGATACATTCGAAGCATCAAGAGTTGTTTCGAAGGTTGATTACTTCATTTTTGAAACTGTATAAAGCTTCGAAGATACATTCGAAGCATCAAGCCTAACCTTGAAACTTCATTGTAAGTATCATCATCCTATATCAATGCTTCCAACCTTCGAGAGGTGCTATTGTTCCTACAAAGCTGTGCCGCAAGACCTTCGAACGATGAATTTGGTCTTTTATACCACATTCAAAACTTGTTATTGGTCATCTAGTTATAATTTCATGCTCATTCGAAGCACTTTATTTGTGGGTTATCTAATCATAATTTCATGCTCATTCGAAACACTTTATTAGTGTTATTATATCATTCGAAGTACTTTGTTACTTAAATTAGTCATGTGCTTGGTTCGGCCCTTCAAAAATTCAAGTAAACATCATTTTAAGGGCCGCGGGGGGTAATGTTAGCACCATAAATCTGTAATTTTATTATTATTTATTTTTTATATAATTGCAGGACATGTGGCATCTTCCTACTCATTTGGAGGTTATGAAAAGTTATGAAATGTGGAAAGATGACGGAGAACAAAGTGGAGAACATGGAGCATGAAGTAGAGGTTGAAGGAAGTTATGGAAGATCATAGAGTATGAAATGGATGAAGTGGAAGAGTGTGTAGTTTTAGGTAATTTTTTCCTACAAATGTTTGCCTATAAATAGTCATTCATGGCTATATTGTAAAAATCTAGAATTCAAATCAAAGACAATTGATTTCAATATTTCTTGATATTTTCCTTATCTTAGGAGTAATTTAACATAGATTTATATTTCGAAATATTTATTTTCAGCATTTCCTTTTTAAAGCATTTTATGCACTTTCTTTTCAAAGTATAGGAGTAGAAATAAGTAATTATTACTTTGATTGTTCACTCAATCATCTTTCTCCATCTTCCCCTTTCTTTTTTTAATTTTTCTTTTCTGTATACTTGGCAATTTTCAAGTCCTCTTTATTGAGGTGAAAGAACCGTCAACACAATCATTGGATAATTGACTTGAATTTAATCTGTAAATATTTTTCAATTTTTACTAACACGCTCGCATTTATGATATTTTCTTTCATACGAAAAATAAGCCAATAATACTCAACTATATATGAAATACCTTTGCCATCTCATATATGCTTGGGGACTCAAAGTATGAGTCTCTGTGGATAAACAATAAGCTGTGTTTAGTTGAAAATTTATAAAGAATTTTTTTTTTTTTTTTTAAAAAAATATTTATAAAGAAATTTTTAAAAATTTCACCTGTATTTTTTTTTCTTCTAAATTTCTTGTCAAATTCCCAACGCATATGCGTATATATTACGCGTACATAGGCTCCAGCAACGTGCGTCTGTTCTGTTCTTCTGTGCTTTTTCTTTTGTTTTGTTTTACGGTTGACGGAGAGAAAAACCCTAGGAGAGAGAAAAACCCTAGAAGCTCTTGACAATGTCTGCAACCGGTGCTGGTGGTGGTCAGGAGGAAGAAAAGAAGCCCATGGATCAGTCTGGCCACATCAATCTCAAGGTCAAAGGCCAGGTATAATCAGCTGTATCTCTGTTTTTTTACTTATATTTTGTCCATATAATGTTTCCAAATCTGTGTATAGCATTTATAGCTGTGTTATTTATTGATCTGATATGGTGAGATTTGCAAATATTCGTTTTTTTTGGCTCTAGATAGTTGTTAATGTACTTGTCTTCAGATTGTAGGTGTGCTATGCCATTAATTAACTATTTCAAGCTGTTGAATGATTTTATTCGAGTTCAGAAAGTTTTTATTTATTTTGTTTTTCACATTTTGGAAGTGAAATATTTAGAATTTTGATGGTCAACGATTGCCCTGTTTGAGAAGTTGGCTATTTTAGCCTGGCTAAAATAGCTGTGTTTGTGAAAATAATTAGTTTTTTTTAGTTGATTTGTTGGTTGTGGGAGAAAAAATAGAATGATCATATATTGAACTTGACATTTTGGCCTATTTTGAAAAGTTGGTTAAAAGTCAGTTTTTTTGTTTTTTCATTTTTTGGATCACATCACCGTTCTATTGTTTTTTTGTACGTTTTTTCAAAAAAAAGGTCCAAAAACATAGTTTTTAACCTGCTTCTCAAAATATACTTTTGTCTTATTGACTATTTTAGCCTATTTTGTCTTTATTAACTATTTTAACCACCAAAAAAAAAAAAAAACTAACTAAAAAAGCAACCTGCCAAACACAGTTTCAATGCAATGGGAGGAAAACTAGTCACTGATATTTTATTTTTTTAATTACAATAAGGGTAATGAGAATGTTGATTGATTGTGGCTTCATTCACATCGCTCTGTTCTGATAAATCTTATTGTTATTTTATATGCAAATGTCGTATATGTGTGGATCTTCTTCATCTGTTTGTTACTATTATTTGAACTTAGGCCTCATTTGTCAACATTCAATTTTAGTCTAAAAGTCAAAATGTAATTAAAAAATCCACAAAGCCAACAACCTATATAAAAAAGTTAAAGATTCTTTTTTTCTCTATTTTTTACACATCTTTTCATGAAAAGCCATGTCAAACATACTAATTTTTTACCTCATATTTTAGTCAAAAAACCAAAAAAATACTAAAATAGTCTGTTCCCATACGAGGCCTTAAACAGTTTCAGATAACTAATCTTTTGAAAAAAGGATAAGTAAATCATTTTTAGAACTATCAAAGAATCACCAACTTTTTTTTGTTGTTCTAACCTATACAATTTTGGAAGAAATATGAATACGAGTATATACAAAAATTGTTGTGGATGTCTAATTGAGTGTTGTATTAAATGGTATATGATTACATTAGTCAAAGCAAAATTGGTGTATTGTTTACTTGATGGGGTAACTATATATGATTTTGTGCTAATTGGCCCCTTCCCTTTAGGTCAATACTTTTCCCCCAACAATGTAATTCTTATTTGTCTACCATTGGTTGAACTTGAGTTGGGCTTTTAAGATCCTGAAACTGATTGTAAATAAGAAAATGCCATCTGAATTGGATGGAATTGATTGAGTCAACTGGTTTATTCATTGCAAAATATTAACTTCCAATTACTTATCATGGGTATGGTATATCAGTTGTGCCAAATTTATGGAACCATGGAGTTGGCCTAATATGTTGCCATGCAAGCACCCTTTCTGATTTCATGTTGTTGTGACTGGGGATGATTGCAACAACATTATTTTGATGAAAATATTTTACTTTTTGTTGTTTATAGTGTGCGGTTTTATAGCCCTTTTGGGTGTCTGCATGTGTTGCTGCGATTAGAAAGTTAAAGTAAATATATAAGAAATTTATTTGTGAAGGTTTTGAGAATATTAGTAATGTGATCAAGAGGAGATAGAGATATGTTTTCGATTCTGTTACCAATGGCAAAAGGTTTCATGGAAGATCTAATTTGAACTTAACCATTGGATTTGTAGAATTAATCTCCAACATAGAGGAACATGTAAAACCATCTCCTATAAAAGATTCTAAAGTTATTGAGACAGATGTTTTCTCTTGCTCATTAATGGCAATCTCTTAACTTGCTTAAGTCTCTTCTTTCAGGCTTCTATTTTTTAGCTTTATTTTTTACCAAAATTAAATCTTCAATGTTCCTGTTAACTACTACAATGAGATAAATAGTGCAGGCAATGCTAGTAAATGTATGATATGCGAATATTATCTGCAAATCAATTGGCTGGTTAGTCACTTTTATATAACAGTAATTCTGGGATCATGATTATCTTATCAAAAAAATATTTGGGATCTTGACTGTAGATATAGAATAGAAATCCCTGGGCATTATCCAGTGAATGAGCACCTATTGGTATGGAGTTAGTACTAAGAATAGCAGACTGTTCAAGATTTTGGCAAATTTTTGAATTCGGAATTAACTGTTCTATATGCTGGTCACCAAGTATTGAGATAGAGAAAATAAAATAATGAATTAGTGATAAGAAAAATTAAGAAAAGAAAACTGGTAATTGTGGGAGGTGACATGGGATTCTGGATTTTTGTGTATAGATAGTGGAATCTTGGACTAATTTAGGAAAATATCTGCCATATAGGGATGTGTAATTTTGGAGTTTTTGAATTAGTTTGGTATTGAGATTGCAGTTCATTTTTATTATGAGAACTTGGGAATTTGGTGAATAATTTACGTCTTCTTGTAGCTGGATCATACAGTTGTGAGATGTTTGAACATGTCATCTTGTAAATATAGTGCAATTTTGTTAAGATATCTATATAAATATGAGGAACAAGATAATGGCCAAAATTCAACTTGTGATGCGGACAATTTTATGAGAAATATCAAATCATGTGTTTATGTCTTTGAATAAAGGGTGCATTCGATTTTTGGCACTATGAACGCATTGACAAATTATAATGTTGTTACACTTGCTCTGTTTGCTTTCTAAATGGTTGTTGTCTATTGTAGGACGGGAATGAAGTGTTCTTTAGGATCAAACGTAGCACTCAACTACGGAAGCTCATGACTGCTTACTGTGACCGGCAGTCTGTGGAGTTCAACTCCATTGCATTCTTATTCGATGGACGTCGACTTCGCGCAGAGCAAACACCGGATGAGGTGTGTTTTTGTTTGGTTATACCAAATTAATGGGGTCTGATTATATCTTTGACCTATTGATAGTTGTTGTGTCCTCTTGCTTGCAAGTTGAAGCTAGTGGTTGTAAGCTCAACCAAACAAGAGAACACAAGTTCCTGACTCATGTTGAACTTAAAATAATGACCTCTTTTGTGTTTTGTGTTTTTTTTTATCAATTTTTTTGGAATAGCTTGAGATGGAGGATGGCGACGAGATTGATGCAATGCTGCATCAAACTGGAGGTGGCCATGTATGTTTCTAGCTGCAAATTGGTCTACATATGTAAGGGACTATCATGGGGGGTGGGATATTTGCCTTTAGTTCTAAAAACTTGTTCGTCTATGGAAATATTCGTATGAAGAAAAATGGATCTGATGCAAATTGAAAATGTATTTTGACTAAAGTTAGTTTTTGGTCTAGCAAGGCAAGCCTGCTTGATGGGGCATATTTGGATTTTATTGTTGCCATTCTGAAATATGGAATCTATTACAGGTTCCCCCTTGTGCCTATCTATAATGATGAAGTGTGATAGTGTGAATATGCTCCAACAGTAAAATAGTTCAAATTTGAGGCTCCAAAATAATTAAATTGAAATTGTCACTGAGCTTGCTACCATCAAATTGTGAAATTTCACTAATATTCCAATATATACAAAATTCAAATAAACATTCACAAATTTTTGTTGTCTTTTTTGTCTTGTGTTTATTTTTTGGGATCCCAAATTGTCTTTATTGTCTGTACCAAAATGAAAATTCATTGTTTTCAACGCAGTAAAATTTCATTGTGTTCAACTTAGTGAAATTTATGATTGATGGTTAAAATTTTAAAAGAGTAATGCTAGAGATCCCAAATATTCTACTAAAAGTTTTACCAAATGTCTCACATGGGTGTGGTGTGGGTCCCATGTAGGTCCCACACACATGTGAGACATTTGGTAAAACTTTTGGTAGAATTTTTGAGACCTCTAGTATTTTTGATTTTAAAATTAATGGCCAACTATAAATTTATATACTTATTTACAAATTTAGGAATAAAAATGTCAAATTAAGGACTCAAATTATGAATGTCTGTCATAAATCAGTGAAATTTTACTGTGAAATTTCACACTCCATCCTACCCCTACCAATGATGCCCCAAATCCACCAACAATCGATGCCACCACTCATCCGTCACGGTTGTACTACCATTTGTTTGCTACCACGGTCTGCGTTTACACCCTTAAAGCCTCGATTACCTCAACACGAAACTAATCTCCACTACTATAATTTGACCTTTCATAACTGCAAATCCCTCATCCCAAGATTTCATCCTCAGACCAAAATCGATCTCCACAGCTCCATTTCCGATTGCCTCATCCGGCCCTTCATTAGCTAGCTCCTTCACCAATCAGCCCACATTGGCCTTGATAATTATAGATAGAAAGGAAGAAATAAAAGGAAAATTTTGGGTGGGTTTATTCATTAACATACAAAAAAATAATAGGGTCGTTGGATGTGTATTTGTCGCTTAGAGTTCATTAGAAAAATAATTTTTGTGAGATTTGTTTGGTTTAATTTTGAAAGATAAGATTTTAAAAGAGTTTTAAAAATTTAAAACTTGTTTGGTTATGAGTTTTGAAAATAATTTTGGGATGATTAGTAAAATTTTTTTTTTTTTTTTTTTTTGTAGTTGAATAGATGGGTGTAAGAAAATTTGATTGATTGATGTGTAGAATATGAGAGAGGAGAGAGGAGAGAAAAAATGATTGATTGATGTGTAAAAAAAAAAAAGGAGGGAAAAGAAAGAAAAAATAATTTTTAAAAATGGTAAACCAAACACGTTTTTTGATTTTTCAATCCAAAAATTAAACCAAACACTGCCTTAATTTTTTTTTTTATTTCATGATTCATCAGTGTTGTAAAGTGAAGGGTAAAAAAGTAAAAATATAACTTCTGTTAACACTATTGAACCAATAACACTAATTGGGGAGGTCAGTGTAATTTTAGAAACCTTAAGGGAGGTCTCTGTAATTGTCAATAACTTCAAGGAAGGTGGTACACTAAACTATACTTAATTCCTTAGAATAATGGCAAATTTAGATGTCGATCCACCGGAACAATTGTGAAATTAAACTAATTTAATTATTAAGTTTCTAAATTAATTTTAATAAAAAGATTGATGAGAATTGAGAATTAAACAGGAATTAATATGAAAATAAGAAATTAAAATTAGGATTTGAGATATTGATTTTGAGAAAATTCTAGGACAAAGAATCCGCCACTAATCACATAAATAGAGTCTTAAAGTCGGAAACTGGTTGCGTAACGGTTTGAACTACCTAATGCTTCACAACTACAAGCTTGAAGCATTGATCAAAAGAATTGTTGTGTTCAACATGTAGACACGAATTATCTCAAGTAACACAAGTCGTTCGTTCTAAATTAAGATAGCAACACGACTCATCTCTCTTAGCATGACTTGTCTCACACTTTGAATACAAACGAAATGAAAATAATTATATAGAAAGTATTCAACAATCACAGAAAGAAGAATACCTTAAGAAAATAATAGAAAATGTATTTAAAAATTTCTAAACAACCATACAACTCATTCAAACCATTACATAATCAAAAACCTAAGAAAGCCTATTTACATGACTGAGGTTTCATCAAAACCATTGAAAATAGAAGCGCAGTTGCTCATGGAGGAGTGGAAAGATTAGGTAGAAGAAGGAACCGCCATGGAAGATCGCCTTCAACCTTGAACTCTCAAACTTTTCTCTCTTTCAAAACCCTAGCCTCTTCTTTTTTTAGAAAATTATTTGAACCTTAAAACAACATTTATTTCCTCTTTTTATCCTCTTCCAGCCAAACAGGTGAAATTAGAATTTTGACACGCTTTCCGAGGTCGAGCCGCACGTGTAGTAAATGGGGTCGCATGTGCAATTTAGTGCAATCTCATTTTGGCCTCTTTGCTCTCTGCCGCACATGCTGGAATGAGTGTCGCACGTGCAAAAATTGCTTCTTTTGCCCTTTTCTAGCTTCTTTGGTCCAGATTAATATGATTTAATAAATTATGCTTCAATGTATCACATTATCATTATAATCAACTCAAAATTACAAGTAAAAAGGGTCTAAATGTGTACATTTTGGGCATTATTAGGAGGTCAGCGTAATTTACCCTATAAATTATTAGTTATTAAATGATGTTAAAGTAATTTAAATCATTAGATAATATTCACTATATATATGTTACGATAAATTACACTTACATCTCAAAAGTTTAAAAAAAATATAATTAGCCTCATTTTTGACATAATTACACTAATCTCCATTGAGATTTCAATTCATATATAGTACTTGAGTCTTTTTTCATTAGTAATTCGTAAGCTTTTGTGGATGAAAAATATTGTTGTCATATTTTTTACACTAAAATATACATTTATCATTAGTTATTTATATATCTACCCATAATCCTTATTAGTTTCAATAATTTTAAGAAGGTGAGTATTTACACTATATATATATATATATATATATAATTAACACAACACAAAACTAACTTTTTTCTTTCTCCCATAGAAATGCAAAAAGCCATTGCAACAATGCGTCTATTCTTCAATTCTTATCACTTTCCTCTCTATCTATCTCACTTTGTATATGAGACATCGACCCACCATATACTTAATTAGGCAAATTACACCAGTAGTGCCAATGTTTTACCTCTTGTGTTATTTTAATTCCTACACTTTCAATTAGTTCAATTTTAACTATTAATTTTAAATTTTATATTAATTTGGTCCAATTAATAATACTGTTAACATTTTGATAAAAAATTATCACTAAATTGATTAAAGTTAACTCATTGAGTTAAACAAGTTCATAATTTTATCTTAAAAAACATGACAATGCCACTTATGTGCATATTTTTCATTAAAAAATACAAACAATTGTAAGCAATTGGACTAAATTAAGATAAAATCTTAAATTCAAAATTAAAATCAAATAAATTAAAACTATGAAGACTAAAATGACATCAAAACCAAAATACAAGGACTATTAACATAATTTGCCCTACCTAATCACTTTGGTTTATCTATTAAGTCACTGATCAGATTATTGCAAAATATATATATATATATATATAAATTTGATAATTATAATTACATTATTTCATCGTATTTATGTTGTAAGTTACTCTAAATTTTTTTTTTTTTAATCTTTGTTTAAAAAAAATACCATCATAATAAATCTAATTTTTAAATAGATGCCGACCCACAAACAGGAAAAAAGCAGACTCCTATTTCGAACACCAAATAAAAAAATCCATTATTCGTACCCAAAAAATGTTAAGTAACAACTAACCTTTTCTCATTAACTGAGAAAAATACGATACACTTCCCTTGTTTGGTGATCAGTGATTACGTTGCAGGATACATAACAACAGAAGGGCCAACAGAGTCCAATCGTGCATGTCGTCTACGTAAATTTTCAAGTAGTCATATTACTAATATAACACTCTTTTGATCTCCCACATGCTTACTTAGGAATGTCTACTACAATCACTTTTTTATCATCTATATATGTTTTACTACTTTTGACATGAAATGTCAAAATGTACATTTTGACTGTGTTTGGTTCAAGGAGTTGATTAGAAAAATGAAGAGCTAAAGGGAAATAAAAAACAAAAAAGAACAAATAATAATAAGATTCATATTTCAAACTATGTTTGGTTGAGTTGAAAAAAAAAAAAAAGGCTAAGTGAACCAGAAAACAAAAACTTGAAATTGCATTCCCCGCCTATTTTTTTTCATGTGGTTTTTATTATAACAAAACAAAAAAAAGTAAGATTATATTTCTTTTTCTTTTTATTTCTTATCAAATTCTCCAACAAAACACAGTTTAAATAAAATTTTCAGCCAAAATATAAACAAACAAATAAATCAAACACAGGGGGCTTCATTTGCAAGTTGCAATACATATTCCCTATCTTGAAAGTAACAATAAACTTCCGGCCATGTTCACAAGGGCATTTATAATGTATCAAACAACAAATAAACAAACTAAACTACCATATAATATGAAATCCAGACCAGCGCACAGAAGGAAACGTAATACAAGAAATTTAGCCAAAATTCTTTTATTAGATCGTTATTTGGTAAAAAAGCTAATCCAATTTATTTTACTTCATAAATTTCTTAAAGAGAAAATACACAATTGAATAAGGACAAATAATTATTTTTTTTTCTTGAATAATATTACAAAAGTAACATGTTACTGTGAAACAGAATAATATATTACTGTCAAATAAAATAACATGTTACTCTTTACATCAATTTCAACGGTAATAATTTTTTTTTTTTTTAAAGAATTTCATAGTCAACATGAATCTTATTTATTTGATAGATCTTGATGAGAAAATTCTAAAAATATTAATTTTATTAAAAACCAACATCTAGATCAAAAGTTATATTATTTTAAAGTTTAATATTTGGTAATAGTAGTATGTGTTAGAATTTTGAAGGAAGTTTTTTTATACTTGTCATTAATGCATTAAAATTTTATTATGAGAGAGTTTTGATCAAAACTCCTGAAATATAACTTATACACTCTAAATATATTTTGAAGTAATTATAAGATGAATACATTATGTATATTTTAATATTCTATAATTATTTTACATTCTTTAAATCTACTGCAAACCTTATCCATCATGCTATTGTTAAAATTTGACATGATAAGTACAAAAACATGCTCTCAATCATGCCTGACGTGGGTAAGCCCATAAAGGCCATAGCCCACTATGAACAACCCAAGCCCATCACTTGGAGCCCAATACATAACCCTGCTGGTGAAATCCAGAACAGCTGGAACCCAACATGGCATAAAGAGCCAATGACATTCAGACATACGGCAGGTAAAGGACAAGCCACATCAGTAGACAAAGATCTGCAAAGTTATTGCCATTGCACATCACTATTAATGCAGCCCATCATAGCATTTATTACAACAACACCTCTCCGTCGGAACAGCACCCCCTTACCCTGAACAAGGCAAGCTACAGCATAGACTTTCAGCCAAGATGGCAGGTCGGAAGGGACAGCGAAATGATGACCAAAGGATATAAACAAATGTTGAAGACAAGAAGAAGGTTAAGTTTTCTATCTCCCATTCATATCTCTACATTTCACTTCTCTCTCTCTCTCTAACTTGCTTGTCGGAGGGTTCGCTGGGGGACTCCCCATTCCCCATTGAACTCCTGTGCAGGTTCTCAGGTGGGCTTGGCCATTCAGATAACGATTGGAGAAGCGTGGACCAGTCCGACCCATTCCCTCTGGAACCCGTTGCATCATAACTGTATTATCAATTGGCGCCGTCTGTGGGAAAGCATTGCTCCTCGCGCCAGTTGTGTTCACTGTCGCCGGAGACCCTGTTCAAATACCCCTTTCTCGCTACCCATCGAAGTGTATGGTCACGACTAGATCCATTGCTTCTCACCAAAATGCTGCTAACCACCAAGCCGACCCCCCCTCCCCCAATCCAAACAACACCCACCACAATATTTCATCGAGCTTACCAACAGCATTCACCGCATGGCCGAGCAAAACCAAGCCCTGATCAATGCCCTACTCCAAAGAAACCTTCCTATGCCCCCTCCACCACCTCCCGATATTCCTCCTAACTACGAACAAGCCCCGAGCCATATTATTCCACAGCCTAATCCGCCCAACAGAGAAGGCTTGCAACTCTCTCCCCTAGGTATAAACCTACCACCCCGAGGCCCACAACCATCGATCCCGCCACCAATCCTTGAAGGAGAGGCCAGCAGCGTCCAGCCCCCGTTGCCTTCCGGAGGTGACCACATCCCTCTCTGGGATGTGGAACTCCGAGCCATGAAGCTCTAACTCCAAGGAGTCATGTAGAACATCCAACATAAACCCTCTACCACAGCAAACTCACCATTTGTCGCCTCCATCCGCGACAAACCTCTACCCCCCAAGTTCAAGATGCCCACCATCCACTCTTTTGACGGCACGACGGACCCAGTCGACCATCTGGAGACCTACAGAACCCTCATGATCCTCTATGCATTCCCTGACGAGATCATGTGTCGAGCTTTCCCCGTGACACTGAAGGGGTCAGCTCGACTATGGTTTAGCCAGTTACTAGCAGACTCCGTCTCCACTTTCCACCCCAGTAATGATACGCCAAAGTTTCTTGCCTTTGAGGAAGCCAGACATGGCTTGTGCCCAAAGGACATAATTAGTCCCGTCAAGAATAATGGAAATAGGGTGATTAGAGGAATCCGGGCGATCCATGAGGGAAAAATAGCACAATGGAGGTAGAATCTGAAAAAATCAAGGTTACCAGTGAATTCAGAAGGCCGAAATTAGTGGGAAAAGGAGTGAAAACGACCCAAAATATGACCACAGAGGCACAGAAATGAGGGACAAAGGGGCGCGACGCACGTTAGCAAGAAAGGCGCGGCGCACGTTAGCAAAACAGGCCAGGCAGTGCACGGTAGCAGAGAGGGCTGACGTGTGCTGACGTCAGAAACACGCGGCGCACGTTAGCACGGGACAGTGTGGAGGACGCGTGGAGCGCGTGTGAGGCGGAAGGCGGAAGCAGGCGACGAGCCGGTCACAGAAGTGGCGCGTGAGAGCGCGTGTGACGTCGTATTGGGCTGAAATTAGTGGCGTTGGAATCGTCCGGAGGAGACGAAGGCTCTGGTGTGGTGAAAACTTGGCTCTGATACCATAAAAGAAATTGAGAGAGATTGAGAGAGCAAATATTAGCTCTATATTTTTGATGTATTCAGTATGTATGTCTATATTTTACAAGAGACTGGGCTCTCTCTATTTATAGAGAGGAGAAGGTACATTAAACTATTGCTAAAGCTTTCTTTGTGTGCTGGGGTGTGCTAGTGGGTGTGTGCTGGTGTGTGCTTTACAGGGTGATCCGAACATGTGATGCTAGTGGGTGTGTGCTGGTGTGTGTGTGCTTTACAGTGTATTCTTTGTATACTTTAACACAAATAATAATAAGTTTCATATTTCAAACTATGTTTGGTTGAGTTGAAAAAAAAAAAAAAAGGCTAAGTGAACCAGAAAACAAAAACTTGAAATTGCATTCCCCGCCTATTTTTTTTCATGTGGTTTTTATTATAACAAAACAAAAAAAAGTAAGATTATATTTCTTTTTCTTTTTATTTCTTATCAAATTCTCCAACAAAACACAGTTTAAATAAAATTTTCAGCCAAAATATAAACAAACAAATAAATCAAACACAGGGGGCTTCATTTGCAAGTTGCAATACATATTCCCTATCTTGAAAGTAACAATAAACTTCCGGCCATGTTCACAAGGGCATTTATAATGTATCAAACAACAAATAAACAAACTAAACTACCATATAATATGAAATCCAGACCAGCGCACAGAAGGAAACGTAATACAAGAAATTTAGCCAAAATTCTTTTATTAGATCGTTATTTGGTAAAAAAGCTAATCCAATTTATTTTACTTCATAAATTTCTTAAAGAGAAAATACACAATTGAATAAGGACAAATAATTTTTTTTTTCTTGAATAATATTACAAAAGTAACATGTTACTGTGAAACAGAATAATATGTTACTGTCAAATAAAATAACATGTTACTCTTTACATCAATTTCAACGGTAATAATTTTTTTTTTTTTTAAAAGAATTTCATAGTCAACATAAATCTTATTTGATAGATCTTAATTAGAATATCTTAAAAACACTAATTTTATTAAAAACCAACTCCTAGATCAAAAGATATGTTATTTTAAAGTTTAATATTTTGATAATAGTGATATGTATTAGATTTTTCAAGGAAAACTTTTTGTGCTTGTCTTTAATGCATTAAAATTTTATTACAAAGAGATTTTAACCAAATCTCCCATGTAATAATTCTACTCACGAATAGCATTCAACTTCAAGCCACACTCGAAAGTCTTGTGCAGCTCTTCCATGATGAAAAAGCCACATGAATGCGGTCCACCAGCAGCATCCAAACAATCTTCGGGTAGCAATGATTTGAAAGTGAAGATCTGGTGGAGATCCAAGGAGTCGAGGAGGGAGACGAGATCGCCGATGATGTGGAGGGCGGTGTAGTTGGTGGCGGAAGGAGGAGCATCGGTGTCTCCGTAGCCGCGGAGATCGGGGGCGATTGCTCTGTAGCCGGAAGAGGAGAAAGAGAGCATCTGGTGGCGCCATGAGTACCATAGCTCAGGGAAGCCGTGAAGAAAGAGGACAGCTGGTCCTTCACCTGTCTCTGCTACGTGCATGTTTATGCCATTCACGCTTATGCTCTTATGCTCTATCTTCTCCATCTCTTCTTCTCTGTAATGCCAAGACTCTAAAAAATGTTTTAGAGCTCTAATGGAAGAGCTCAAGGGAAAGGTGGACACGTGGCAGCCCCATATATGACTAGAGACCCAATTCTTGCAGCCTCTTTGTCAATTCTTGCTCTCCAACAGATTGTTTCACGAGAGACAAATCCTCTTGAGGCCAGAGTAGTCTCAGTTGGGTTTATTGAAGGTGGTGGACTCGAAGAAATTTCAAGGTATGTGTAGAAAATTCTAGCGGACTAGGTTGAGGTCCGACGGGCGGCCAAGGCGAGGTTGCCGCCCGCCGGTGAAGCGAAAAATACTAAATTCTTAACTTAGCTCTGATACCAAAAGAAGGCAGAAGACGAACTGCACACCAAACTCATTTTATTCATGTCAGGGCTCACCCCGATCACCATTTTACACCACACAAAAACACACAAAAAAAAAAAAAAAACCCAACAACAAAACAAAACATCCACAGGCAGGATTTTTTCTTCTCTACTCTGCCGCCGGTCTCTTCTTCTTGCCTCCGTCCTGGGCGGCCCTTGACGGTGTTGCCTCCGTGTTTCCCACTCCACTGGGCACGATCACTCCACCCTGCTCCTCCACTGCAGCATATGGCGGACCTCCAAATCGGAACATCACGGTGGCTTTCCGCTTCAGCTCCTTATTTTCCGCCTTTAGCACACTTATCTCTGCTCGCGCATCCTTATACATGCGTTGGAGCAGAGCCAGTTGGGCGTTTAACTGCTGCACCTCATTTGTCCTACTCTGCAGCCGGTGCGACAAGTTTGTGACCGCAGTCATGGTTTCCACACATGACTTCAAAGTATACTGATTAGCCTCAATATCTGATTGTGCTGCCATTCTTTGCTCCACAGACCGCATAGAAAAGGTCAACGGAGCAAACTCAGGGGCGCTTGGTTGAGGTTCACGGGCAACCGCACCAGTTACCTCTCTTGTGGACTCGTTGAGGTCGGGAGTGAGCAGACTACGGGACGAAGAGGCCATGTTATGGGTTGCTGAGTGTTTCAGAGAAGGGTTGGTTACAGAGTGTTACAGAGTATCTCTCTCAAGACAACGAAGAGTTTCTCAGAGGTTTTTAGCCAGTTTTTTGTCCTAGCCTCTGCCTCAGTCTCAGCATCCGTCTTGGTTAAATAGCCAAGGCAGACACGCGCATCGCGCGCCACTTGACGCCAGACGACAAAAGGGCGCGCAGCCAATTGTTGTGACGCGCCTCGCCATCTGCACGGCACAATTCTGTTTTATGACTTGGGCTACCTCATTTTGATGGCACGCCTTTTATGGATTGTGGCACGCTTTGATGCACGCACTTTTGAAAGATTGGCACACCTTTTGATGGGTGCGACTTATTTAAGGGTCCACAACAGACCTCAGTAAACTGTCCGACATTGATTACCGTATTAGTTCTTACAAGGGAATCCAGCAAGACTCCGTAAACTGTCACAAAAACTGTCAACAATTGTCCTGCTACATACGGTCGACATGACCCCATAAACTGTCGTCTAACATCGTCCTGGCCAACCTCGCTTTCAACAACGGTCTGACACGACCATACAGTGTCTCCTATCCATTGTTTTTTTTTTTTTTTATTTTTTTTTGTGCAAAGAAATAATAAAAAAAAAAGATGAAAAATAAAGTGAAAGAAAAATAAAAAAAAGAAAGAAATAATAAGAATATAATCACGTGGGTTTCTTGGCCCACGGTTTTGTGAAAACCTGCAATGGGTTTGGTATTTGTTTTTTTTTTTTTTTTTTAATAATAAGAATAATAATATATGAATGGCGAAAGCATGTGCCCCAATGGGTTGGAAAGTGAAAAAATTGGAGAGAGAAAATGGGGTACATGATGATGAGGATGATAATAATAATAAAACGAATAAAAAAAAAATTGGTTATGTATAATGTGGTGGCTTTATTCAAAAAGTGAAAAACTTTGTCCCTGATAATAAAAACAATGTGTTTATCTGTGTATGATAGGAGAGAGAGATTGTAAATGGAGACTTGGGAATCTGATAAATTACGGCCATCCAAAAATAAACACTAGCGAGCCACTAGCGACGGTGATCAAGATGGCTCTACCCAGAAATGGCGATGGTGCCAACATCACGAAACCCAGTCTGCCAGGGCTGTAAAAGAGCCATCCCACCACTCCAAAATCGCCGGAGACCTGGAAAGCTACCAGCGAAGATTGATAACCACAAAAACTCAAAGCTTGTCCACCAACGAGCTGAACCAGTGGATGGAAAACACACGACTGAAGCAGACAACACCTACGATGAAAATGGAAATCTTGAACAACACTAGCCAGAGCTACGGCTAACATCCAAACTTGACACCACCTTCGAGCCCATTTGCGCAACCCACTGTCAAAAACCACCAATCCATATCACGGACCGGCGGTTACAACCTACGAGATGCTCTGATCTTGAAGGTGCACACCTGAGGTGAGACGACCGGTGCACACCTGAGGCGGATTTGTCGGAGCCGGGTTCGAGGCGAAAGAATTGCAAGGCGTCGAGATCGGAGAAGTCTTGGTCGGAGGGAGAGTCATTCAAGTTGTCTTCTGTTTCTCGTAATAATTCTACTCACGAATAGCATTCAACTTCAAGCCACACTCGAAAGTCTTGTGCAGCTCTTCCATGATGAAAAAGCCACATGAATACGGTCCACCAGCAGCATCCAAACAATCTTCGGGTAGCAATGATTTGAAAGCTTCACTGTCGTCGAAGCTTTCGACACCACATTCCGTGTTACTATTTCTTAAACCTGGGGACAGCGAAGATTGCAAAAATCAAAATTGAGCACAAGTAGTCTATTGAATAAAACTCCGTTTACAGATATGTACATATATATATTAAATATCTAAAGAGTTGTGTGTATCATATATAAACACTGAATGGGTATTTGCTCCTCACATTTCAAGAGCTCATCATCCCATTTGTCCTCGTCTAAGAACAAGGAAGTGCAATCATCCTGTGCAGCCTTCAAGACAAATATAATAATAATTATGGAAAAGTTACTATTAATTAACATAATAAGAAGCTCGAGACCCCATGTTGCCAAGCAAAATATGCCATTTGCCAGTGGGCATTTCGTTTTTGGTCAGTTATCCATAAATAAGTAGATAGGATGATCTAACAAAAAGGATCAAATAAATATAAACTCACCGTCCCTGTACGATTGCTTTCTTGCTTTCCAAAGAAAATTGCCAGGACCAAGTGCTCAAGTCCAACATCCTATTCACCCAAAAAAAAAAAGTCCAACATCCTTATCACCTGCAATATATGCTCAGGTGTGAGGGAGGGGGGAACATGAATATGCATAAACCTACTTCATCCACCCACCGGACAAATCCAGTTTCCTCAACTGAATCCGAAGCAACATTAAGACAGAACTAGATTTAGGAGAGACCATTTAATGCCTTAAAATTTTCAGAGCAACCAAATTTACCTCCATTTAAAACAAAAAGATTCATAATATTCACCTGCCACATAACTTTATAAAGAGTAAATTCAATGGGATGTTGAGGTCATTACAAAAATAGAGATCTAACCAAGAATGGTAGCTGTATCGCGCGATAACTTGTAAATGCTAAACGAAGAGAGCTTCAAGGAAATCCACCCAAACAATTTAGCCCCCTGTCATTGAGGATCCTCCCGACACATTCACCAACGCTTGAAAGTGAAAGGCCAAACAAAATATGCTTCACACTAATGAAACGTTCACCTTGCATTCTTCTCTCATGATTAGCAATCTTAATCACTTCAGTGAGCTCATCTGTACAAGGTCCGAAGCAAACATCTGATAAAGGAAAAATTACAGCTTTCTCAAAGTCCTTCAACTGTTTAAAAAAAAAAAAAAGACATAATGTGTAAGAAATAATGTATAGAGAAAGAGAGAGAGAATAAATTGTATGTATTATTGATTGATATTTAGATATGTTACAATGATTCCTATATATAGAAGAGTAGGTGATAGTAGGTGGTAGGTGGAGTAGGTGAAGTGGAGGTGGTAGTGGTATAGTGGGTTAGGTTTAGTGGAGTAGGTGAAGTGGAGGTGATAGTGGTGTAGTGGGTTAGGTTTAGTGGAGTAGGTGAGGTGGTAGTGGTGTAGTGGGAGTGGAGTAGGTGAGGTGGTAGTGGGTTAGGTTTAGTGGAGTAGGTGAGGTGGTAGTGGGTTAGGTTTAGTGGAGTAGGTGAGGTGGTAGTGGGTTAGGTTTAGTGGAGTAGGTGAGGTGGTAGTGGGTTAGGACCTTGAGAGTGAAAGTGGGAGATCAATGGGAGAGCCTTGCCATTATTCTATTCTCTAGCCATTTTTCCTTCTTCTTCACCCAATTTCTTATCTCCATCATCTCCTTTGTTGTTGTGTTCCTAAGTTGAGATTATTGAAGAATCTAAGCCTCTCATCATATTCTAGAGAATTCGAAGTTGTTCTTCAAGGATCTTTGAAGATCTTCGAATTTTCCAACTCTTTTCTTGAACCCTCTCCTACAACGGACATGCCACATTCTTAATAGTGTATGTGCAACTTAGGAACTCAAGAGAGGCCATTTCAAATATGGAACCAAAAAAAAAAAGTTTAAATATAGAAAAATGCGTAAAACAAGCACTTTAATTCATCCATTTTCATGGTCGTTCTGTTGGTAGTTCATCGAAAATAGATTAATCAAAAGTACACCACAAATATATATGAACCACACTATGAACCATCCCAAATTAAGCAAATGACCATGTATAACCCCAACTGTGCAAAGCTTGTTCAGTACTACAAATAATTTTAAAAATAATAATAGGAAAAGTTAGGATGTGTGTTCTACACATGTCGAGAAGTGTCCAACACGGACATGCCACATGCTTAATAGTGTATCTGCAACTTACGAACTAGAGAAAGGCCATTTCAAATATGGAACCAAAAAAAAAAGTTAAAAGAGTAAAATGCGTAAAACAAGCACTTTGATTCATCCATTTTCATAAAGTTGCGACATTTCCACACACACACAAAACAAATTAAGGGAAAGGCGGTGGGGGCAAAGACCAGAGAGTGAGTGATACCGCTGATGCTTTCATAGGAGCCAAGTATTCATAGAGCCCAACGATTATGCCATCAGCTAAAACTGAGCACGCAGTTTTAATATCATCAGAGAGAAACACATCTGATGTCTTTGGTAAATTTTTTTCTAGCTCTTTAATGTTGACGCCCCTCAAAGCCTCTAAAACCAAAGTATCAAGAATACGACAACTTTTCTCATGTGTCAACTCCAAGGTAAGCTGCGTTTTACAATCTTCCTGGTTTCAATGGACAACATATCAGACATGATTGAAATCGATCACTTGAATTTTAAAAGTCGAACACTTAAAATTTAAGAAAGTGAAAATAATATAGAACCTTTAAAAAAATCTGATAAATAAACCAAAGTGAAACAGAAAAATGAGCTCCAACTACTAAATTAACAAACAATTGAGTGTTGAGAACACATCATGCTGAAGCAGCAACACATGTCAGCAGAATTACAGATATGGGCAGAACCAGATTTCATACAATAAAACATAAAGTACTAATTATGATGTTAAATTTAGCATGAACTCTTTTGAATGTTAAAAAAAAATGACTCAAAGAAAAGGACAAACAATAATGACAAATTTGTACGAGTTCAGCAGAGAAGTCAAGAACATAAAAACTTCTGAGTTCGTACCTTTAAAGGCTTGTCATAATTCCTAAACACCTCCAATGCACTTGCTATGTCTTCAGGGCTGATATCATCCAACTACATCCACAAAATTAACAATCAACTTAGCACGATTCAGTAAATTATCTTTGGAAATAAGTTAATAGAACAATGTAAAATAATCCTATCTAGAATAATTGGACAAGATTATCACATACACACTGAAGAAAATTATACCTCGGGATCAAAAATAGGAAAAATCCATGGACAATGAACCTACAACGAAAAGTATGAACAAAATATTAAACTTCCTGAAAAAAAATTATATCTAAAAAATAAATAGACAAACAAAGAAAGATAGGAAAAACAAATAAAGAAAGCCATACAGGCAGTCATGACACTCTAAGGGTAACAGTGGCACTACCAAGGTAATTACGACAAAGACAAGACAACTGCCACAAAAATTATCTTTGTCCACAAAGGGTGAAACAATTCCCAATTTCAGTCTCAATTCTTAGGTAGTCAGCTGATGCAATCCACAAGTAGAGCAAGAAAAAGCCATGTTCAAGAAGTGGCAATATTTGGAAATTGCCATGGTTTCAAGCTACAAACGTCATTAAAATCTTATTTTAGTTTTTAGACTGGGTATTTTGGTAATTTTTATATTTGCTATCAGGGGCTATAGCGATTGCCCATGGATTGTCTTGCGGGTAAAGTTATTTAATTAGTTTTTATTTATGTTTCTTATTTGGTCTTAGAGTATGAAGCAGACACCTCTCCGAGGGCTCATCAGTGTCAGACGGACACGAGGTGAAGACGTGTCCGACATGCAGCAGAGAGGGCCCTTTTTATTTATTTATTTTTGCATCCGGACACGTTCGGGGGGTCAATTTCATAATTTATGAAACTTGTGTTGTGGCCAATTTGTAAAACAACAAAAACAGAGCAATATTTACCCTAAATCGACAGAGAAGAAGAGAAAGACCAAAAGAGAAAGAGAGAAGACCTGGTCCATTTTCGGTGGTCGCTCGTCTTCGCTTGTCGCTCGTCGGCTGTTATCTAAGGTACGACTTCACTGCTTCATTCTTCATTTTTCTTCTTCGTTCTTCTTCTTCTCCAATCTTCTCTCTCTGTCTCAATCGCCGTCTCTCTGTCTCTCTCGCAGTCACTCTTATCCTCTGCGTTGAACCTTTGTTTTGTTTTTTCTTTCTTTTTTTTTTTTTTTCTTTCTTTTATATGGTCTATGTGGGAGTGTACATCTGTCTGAATGTCTCTCTCTTGTATTTTTATTTTTTTTCTAATTTCATTTTATTTTTCTTTTCTCTTTGTGCGTGAGAAGACCTGGTCCATTTTTGGTGGTCGCTCGTCGGCTGTTATCTAAGGTACGACTTCACTGCTTCATTCTTCATTTTTCTTCTTCGTTCTTCTTCTTCTGCGATCTTCTTCTTCTCCAATCTTCTCTCTGTCTCAGTCGCCGTCTCTCTGTCTCTCTCGCAGTCACTCTTATCCTCTGCATTGAACCTTTGTTTTGTTTTGTTTTTTCTTTCTTTTCTTTTTTTTCTTTCTTTTATATGGTCTATGTGGGAGTGTACATCTGTCTGAATGTCTCTCTCTTGTATTTTTATTTTTTTTCTAATTTCATTTTATTTTTCTTTTCTCTTTGTGCCTCTGTTATTTGAGTGTATAACTTTTTTTTGTGTTATTTATGAATGATATATATGATGTTAAATCAATTAAATGTTTATTTTTTTATAATTTTAATAGTGTTATTTTGTATTTTTTTATTACCTTCCAATGATTTTTTTATAATTTTATGACATAATAAATAAAATTAATTATATATATTGAACGTGTCTTCCATTTTTTGAAAATTTGCGTGTCCGTGTGTCGTGTGTCTGTCTCGTGTCACGTGTCTGTGTCCGTACTACATAGGTCTAGATAGGTTTCGGAAGTTAAAGTTTCAGTCGTTTTTATTTTTAGTTCTAGTTTGTTTAGGAAGTCTTCTAGTTTTATATAAAGTCATGTAATACTTTTGATTCAATAGAGTTTATATTTTAGAGAATTTTAAGAACTTTAAAGCTTTCTTATGGATTTTGAGATGCAATCAAACCTTGAGAGTGATGCATAAGGCCTTAAGGAGTAATTCCTAGAAACTATCTTCTTCTTCTCCTTCTTCTCTTATTTATTTTCTGCACTTTGACAGACCAAATACTGCTCATGGGTACTGTTCACAGACCATAAAACAGCCCCCAAACAGTCACAAAATCTCATCTTTTAGGATGCTTAAACTCTTACCCATTTATTACCAAAAACAAACCTTACTTCTCCTCTATATTCTTATTGCAATTTCAGCCATAACACCTGATTAAAATCAGCCCCAAAGCTCACTGTTGTTGCTATCCCTACTTGTCCTACATCTAAACTGGTAAATTACACTTTGCCCCCTGAAGTTCAAATGCTTACCCTATAAGGTTTTTCTTTTTGCACTTTGGCCCTTCACGTTTCAAAATTTTCACAATTTATTCCTGAGGCTACCTTCTGTCCAAATTTAGACAGAAATTGTCTCGTGGCACCACATATACAAAAGTTAGATACAAAACATCAAACCCAAAACCCCACACCACCCCACCCAACCTTCCAAACCCACAACTCCTCACTAAATAGCCTCCCACCATCTCCCCGTTTGCGTCTGAACCCCCCACCACCCAACCTCTATCTCTCCCTTCTGTCCACAACCTCCTACAACATTAAAATCAAGGCTAACACCACCAGATCTACAGCCATAGCAATCACCATGAACACCACACACTGCCCTAAACTCCATCCTCCTCTCTGCTTCAAACTTGCAGTGACGAACAGCAATATCGGCGGCAAACTCTGAGATCGAGACCTACAGCTCTCTCCTCCTCTCTGTCTCAAACTTGCAGTGACGAACAGCGAGATCGGCGACAAAGTCTGAGATCGAGACCTGCAACCACAGCTCTCTTGTTAAATGTGATTTTGAGCTTTTTGTGATCTGGGGTTACTAGAAATATAGGTTGGAGGCAATGGAGTGGCATCGTGGTTGGGCAAGATGGAGTGGCAAAAAAGATGGAAGGAGGGTAGAAATTAGGGGCAGTGGAGGGAGTTGTGGAGATTGGGGGAGGAGATGAAGACTGGGGCAAGAAGATTTAGAGGAAAATGGTGGAAGTTGGGGCGGTGGAGGAGGACAAGGGGAGGGGCTGGAGGCTGAAGAACACAGAGAGAGAGAGAGAGAGAGATATGGCAAATGACATTATGGGAGGTGGAGTAAGGAATGGTGGCGGTGGAAGCAAGGGTGGTTGGGGGGCCATTTGGAGATCAAGTCAGGGTGATGGAGGTGGGTGGTGGAGGTAGAGAGTTTGGGCTGGGGTTCGGTTTGCAGTACTCAGAGAGAGAGAGAGAAAGAGAGAGGTTAACAGTATGAACAAAAAATTCGACTTCCTCAAAATAAATAGACAAAGAAAGAAAGGGAAAAAAAATGAAGAGTCATACAGCCAGTCATGACACTCTTAAGAGTAACAGTGGCACTACCAAGGTAATCACAACACAGACAACTGCCACAAAAAATATCTTGCCCACAAAGGGTGAAACAATTCCCAACTTCTCAATTCTCAGGTCATTGGCACATGCATGCGGTCAAGAAAACACGCATTCCTAGATATTCCAAGTTGTGTGGACAGCAGGTGAATACTAAACTCCATCTCCAACAACATACCTACTTCCAACTATATTTTTCGGTTTTCACGGCCAGAGCAGGGGTTGCCAGCCCAACTCTGGCAGTTTCAAACTACTTCAGTGGACGCTGGACATCAAAATAGTTCAGAAAAAATTTGCAAAACACAGGTCGTTTTTCTTCTCATATCAAGCATATTTCTCGTTCTTCAATTAATTTTTCCAGAGAAACTAATCCAACCAAACTACAGGATAGCAAAATTACATCAAATGCTACCTAAGACCAAATTCCCAATTTGTTTGTATCTGAAGGCCGTCCAAACCAAACACACCTCAAGAAAATTTATAATAATTTGATGGGATATTTATCTAGTTTTCATAAAGTAGGGGAGATACTGCAAAATATTAAATCCAAACAACGCATTAAAAATTGACATGACAACAGCTATCACACTTCAAAAATATCTTTAAATTCAATCAACCAACAGAACCAAAATGAATTACCAGGATGAACGTTCAAGAATGCATTTATGTCACAACCTAGAAAACAAAATAAAATAAAAATTACCATGGAAAATTCTTCTTCAGCACTAGTTTGATATTGCTGCAAAGAGACAATTATTCAAAAGAGAAACATAAAAACTAACAATTATTATGCATGAAAGCATTTATTTCACAACCTAGAAAACAAAATAAATTAAAAATTATCATGAAAAATTCTTCATCATCACTACTTTGATGTTGCTGCATAAAGACAATTATTCAAAAGAGAAACATACAAACTAACAATTATTATTCAAGAAAGCATTTATTTCACAACCTAGAAAACAAAATAAAATAAAAATTACCATGAAAAATTCTTCATCGGCACTACTTTGATATTGCTGCATAAAGACAATTATTCAAATGAGAAAAATACAAACTAACAATTATTAAAGCCAGAGCAATTGCTAGGAATGAGGAAGAAAGTTTCTTACCTGTATTCTGACACAAAGATCATGTTCCCTTAGTGTAGAAAATTGATCAACTTTCACCTTCTCCTCAGCAACAGCTACAAGAGGATCACATTTACACTGCACATGGACAAAGGAGTTTTGACATCTGAGAAAAAGAGAATAGGTAAACAACCAGAAAAGAAAAAAAAATTTGTATATACAAATTCTTACAGATTCAAGTTTTGCACAGAATTCTGAAAACTCATCCTCGACCACTCTCCGATTATATATTCTCTCAAAATCTTCCTGGAATAAGAAAGTAAATGAAAATGAGAGCAATGGCATTTACATCTACGTTCCTCAACAATTAACCCTATAAATGCCGGTGTAAATTGAAACATATTATGAGAAACACCACAGCTATAGCACAAAATACAAAAATTATGTCAATAAATATATCAGAAGAAGATACATGTACATCAATAATGACACAAGACAGAAGTGACACATTTACAAGAGCAAAATCACATACTGGCAACCGCCAATGTATATCATTTTATACATTCAATGCAAGTGAGATAGGAAAGAGACCTTCCAAACCATAGAAAACCATGCAACAAAGACATTCATAATATTATATTATAATGTACCATCACAACAAAAATGACAACGATAACAAGAAAAAGATTCAAATATAAAAAAGACAAGGTGCACATCTTGAAATAATCAAGAACATGTCAGCAGCAAGAAAGGAAAATAAACATGGTGATTATTAGAGCAACAAATGATACACATCCACCAATGACCCAAGGTGTCAAAATCTAAAGAGAACTGATGTACATACAACGTGGCTCACATAGCACATCAAGAGAAGAAAAAAAAAAAAAGAAAAAAAAAAGAAGAAATTTAAGCTTGATTTTGCAAAGTTCTTAATTTATTGAACTAAGAAACACTTGTGTGAGACTGGTCAACTCCCATTGCTTTCAAGTTTCTTCAACTACGCAACAAACTTCTGCTGAGGTGTTTTCAGAAATAATCAATGGTATTTTCATTAAGGATAAATTAATGAAAATACCATTGAGGCAGAGAGACGATGTGCGATAAAGTAGACAAAGTATCTGACAATGGATGGTGGCTGGATCATACAAGCAGGATGGTGGCTGGATCATACAAGCAGGATGGTGGCTGGATCCCAGTGGTAAAGCAGAGAGGAAGACATTCAAATCAAGTTGGGCTGAAGGAAGGTAGGCGAGTAGGGATGTACACTCTTTTTGTGGATAACCTACCAGAGTCAATGGATCCAAGGAGTATGTACTCTTTGTTCCTAAAATTTGGTGTAGTTAAGGATGTATTCATTCCACAAAAGAGGAGGAAAACAACAAACACAAGATTTGGCTTTGTTCGCTTTAACTGTCCTGTTGCAGCCAGTGTAGCAGAACAAAAGGCAAACGGAATATAGGTAGATGACAAAGCCTTGATAGTCCATAGTGCAGTATATGGAAAAGAAAAAGGAGACCAGATGAGGTGGAAACAAGTACAGAGGAGGCAACTGGACTTAAGAAGACCATCAGATATAACTGGACCAAAAAGGTGGAATCAAGGCATTGATGGCAGGTCGTATGTAGAGGTCATCAAAGGAGCCCAACCAAGAGGTCAACACACTACTACAATCAAAGTCGAAGAAATAGGAAATGGCTGGTTGTATGAGAGCATGATTATGAGGCTTAAACCCGATCACTCTGCTATGGAGGTACAAGAAAAACTCAAAGAACAAGGTATGAAGGATGTAAGAGTGAGAGCAGGAGGAGGGCGTGATGTAGTCCTATCGTTCAACTCTGTGGAGGCTCTGAAGAGTACAACTAGTAAGCTTAATGTTTGGTTCCAGGACTGGTGTGAGTACATCACAGAGTGGACAGTAGGTATGCAACTCCAACAGGAGAGGTCTGTTTGGCTTAGCTGCTACGGTGTACCCCTGAATCTCTGGAGTTCCAATACCTTCACAAAGATTGGCCGTCTTTGGGGGGAAGTGCTACAATTAGATGGAGATATTTGTGAGCCCGCTTCTTTCTGTTGTGGGAAGATTAAAATAGTTACAGGTGCTATGGATCTGATCAATACATGTATCAATCTAGAATGCAAAGGTAGAGTATACCCCATAAGAGTTTGTGAGGAACAGATTATCAATGAGGTATCATCCTGTGGTAAAGGAATCAACAATGAAGATGGTGAAGAGGGTGTTAGCCCCAGCCCATTGAGCTAGTCCATTGCACGTCCAGTAGTAATGAAGGTGGACTCAAAGGGGAGGGTTATAATTCAAACTCCAATGATACAATTAGGGATTCTATTAGTGGTTCCATCAATAACCAGACTAACCAAGGCCCAAGGTCAGTGACCACAAAAGGAGGGCCTAAATATCCTCTGGCAGCAGGTGGGTTCTCTGGGCTGATTAGGAGAATTGGGCAGGAAAGTGTGGGAGCAAGAAGAAGAAAGGTTCAGCACAAAAAGAAGGTGCCCAGGTCTGGAGCAGTGCCGAGGCCAAATGCAGCTATCTGTCAGCATTATAGTGAATCAGATAAATTAATAGAAGCTCAGGCAACAGTTCGGTTAGGGAAAAGATTGGGGATTGATTTTAAAGGCCAAGAAGAAGAAATTATTAATAAAATTACACAACTAGAGGAGGAAGAAAGGGCCAGAGTTGGAGGGGGGGACTGAAGCAGCCTCGAAAGCACATGATGGGAGGCTACAGAGATGAAAAATGTTGCTATGAAGATACTAAGCTGGAATATTAGAGGAGTGGGTAGACCTGAGAAAAGGAGAAAGATCAAGACTCTACTGTTTGATAGGAGAATTGATATGGTTTTGATGCAAGAAACCAAGAGGTCAAGCTTGAACAATCTGGTGGCTAGAAGTTTGTGGCCAAGAGAAAAGATGGAAATCATGGCAGTGGATGCAATAGGTGCGGCAGGGGGATTGTTATGCATTTGGGACCCTGATGTTTTTCAACTTTCAGAATGCTGTAGCAACAAAAACTTCATCCTACTTTCAGGTACTATTCTGAATTCCTTTGAGTGTGTTATCTTAAATGTCTATGCCCCAAATGATATTATGAGGAGAGGTAAGTTATGGGAGTCATTGTTGTATTTAAAGTCCATTTTCCCCAAACCATGGTGTCTAGGAGGTGATTTCAATGAGATCAGAAATTTGGGGGAAAGAATAGGAAGCTCAAGGAGGGACAGGGGCATGAAAGAGTTTAATGAGTTCATAGATAGATGCGAGGTGACTGATCTGCCCATGGTAGGGAGAAAATTTACTTGGTGTAATGCTCATGATGGTCACAAATGGAGCAGAATAGATAGATTCCTTCTTAGCCCTGAGTGGATTGAAAGATATAGATACAAACTGTGGGGACTGCCTAGGTTGGTTTCAGATCATTGCCCGATAGTGCTTATGGAAGATGAGAGGGACTGGGGTCCTAAACCTTTCAAATACTTAAATGCCTGGTTATTGCACTCACAGTTCACACCTTTTGTGGAGAATACATGGAAGGAGTTACAGATTCAAGGGACTGCTGGGGTCACTCTGCTAAGGAAATTACAGGCTTTAAAGATGGTACTAAAAAAATGGAATATAGAAGTATATGGTAATACTGCAGCTCAACTAAAAGCATCAGAAGATAAACTGAATGCACTTGATTTGAGGGCTGAGGTAAGACCTCTGGAGGATGCTGAAATCAAACAAAAAAGTGAGGCAAGGAATGAGATGTGGAGATTAAGTAGAATGCTGGAATGGGAATGGCTTCAAAAGTCAAGGCTCGACTGGAATATGAAAGGGGATAGGAACACAAGATATTTTCATGTCATGGCTACTAGTAGAAAAAATAAAAATGCCCTCAACTCCATTGTTGTAGGGGAGGTGGCAATTGAGGAACCAATTCAGGTCAAAATTGAGGTATGGTCACATTTTACAAACCAGTTCTCAGAAGAGTGGAGACTTAGACCTATAATAGGTGGGGAGTTTAAAAGTGTAAGGCAAAGTGATTCATTTCATATCCTAGAGTCAGAATTTTCAGCAGTGGAGGTTTGGGAAGCCGTCAAGGACTGTAATGGCAACAAAGCCCCGGGGCCAGATGGTTTCAACTTGCTATTTTTCCAGAAGTTCTGGAAGGTGCTCAAAGAAGATGTGATGCTCTTTTTCACAGATTTTCATGACAGGGGCAGATTGGCTAAAGGCTTTAACAGCTCTTTCATCACCCTTATACCTAAGAAAGTTGATGCAGCCAACTTAAGTGAGTTTAGACCCATTAGTCTTATAGGGTCAGTGTATAAAATACTCTCCAAGGTTCTTGCTAGTAGACTAAAAAAAGTCATGTCAGATGTAATTGGTGAAGCACAATCAGCATTCCTAGGAGGTAGAAACATACTCGATGGGGCTTTGATTGCAAATGAAATAGTGGATGGGTGGAAAAAAACTAAGAGAAAAGGACTAATTCTCAAGATTGATTTTGAGAAGGCTTATGATTCACTCAACTGGGAATTCCTATTCTCAATGCTATCTAGCTTTGGCTTTGGAGCGAAGTGGATCTCTTGGATAAAAAGTTGTCTCTCTTCAGCTAGAATCTCCATCCTCGTTAATGGCTCACCAACTAAGGAGTTCAGTCCTGAAAGAGGTCTCAGACAAGGGGACCCACTATCCCCCTTCCTTTTCAACTTGGCTGCAGAAGGATTGAACATGTTACTGATGAGAGCTAGGGAGTTGGGGCTGCTAAAAGGAGTAGTTTTTGGTGACAATAATGTGGTTGTGTCACATCTTCAATTTGCAGATGATTCTTTGTTGTTTTGTGATGCTGTATGGTCAGAAGTGCTTAATTTAAAAAGGATCCTTAGGTGTTTTGAAATTGTTTCAGGGCTTAAAATAAATTACCACAAAAGTGTTATTTGTGGGTTTGGTATCTCTGAATCTGGGCTTCATGAGTTCGCAGGTATGCTAAACTGTAAAGTTAAGTCAGCACCAATCAAGTATCTGGGGTTGCCACTGGGAGCAAGCCCCCATAGAAAGGTGTTCTGGAAGTCTGTCTTGGATAGGATAAAGCACAGGCTTGCTGGTTGGAAGAGGAGACTTCTCTCCTTTGCGGGAAGATTAACACTAATTAAATCAGTGTTATCTAGTCTGCCGGTGTACTACCTCTCTTTGTTCAAAATTCCAGAAGGGATAGCAAAAGAAATTGAAAAGTTACAAGCTTCATTCTTGTGGGGTGGAGTTGAACTTAAGAGAAAAGTTCATCTAGTGAGATGGGAGGAGGTAACTAAAAGTACTAAGCAAGGGGGATTGGGTGTTAGAAGAATCAGAGACATGAATGCTTGTTTATTAATGAAGTGGTGGTGGAGGTATGCCAATGAGGAACAAGCTCTGTGGAAGCAGGTGTTAGTCTGCAAATACAAAGCTGAAGGTGGAAATTGGCGTCCAGATATTCATTCAGGAGGTAGAGTATCCAAGATTTGGGGTGATATATTGGTGGCAGCAAATCAAAATGTCAGCCTCCTGCAATTTTATATTAATAACCTTCAGATTAGAGTGGGTAATGGTTGTAGAGTGTCCTTCTGGCATGATTGCTGGACTGGTGGAGCTAGCCTCAAAGAATCTTTCCCTCGATTGTTCAAGTTGTCAAATGAGAAGGATGGGACTCTAAGGGACTATGCTGATAAAAGGGGAAACTCTGAAAATTGGGTGATTAGCTTCAGAAGGGCCTTATTTCAATGGGAACAAGAAGAACTCCTCAATCTGAACCTCTTTACCAGTCCTAGTCCTGTCTTGAATCTGCTTGTGAAAGACAGTGTTTTGTGGTTAGCTTCCAAATCTGGTCAGTCTTTTGTCTCAACCTTATACAAGCATACTGATGTTGAGCATGGTGAAGTCAATAATTCTAGCAGATTAGTGTGGATTAAGTACCTTCCACCTAAAGTTCAATTTTTTGGTTGGCTCGCATGGAAGCATAAGGTAAAAACTTCAGTGTTCTTGCACAGAATTGGTGTGCTGGAGGATAGTGCTGCCACTGTCTGTATTTTCTGCAAAGCTGAACAAGAAACAGTTCAACATGTGCTGATCTGGTGCCCTTCGGTCTGGAGAGTTTGGACGGGTCTCCTGCAATGGTGGGGAGCCCTCTGGGTAGTGCCTCAAACTGTTGATGGCTTACTGCAGTGGTGGGCTGGAAGCAAGGTCATGAAAGCTGAAAAAATAATTTGGAATGCTATCCCCTTGGTGGCTCTCTGGTCCATTTGGAAGCACAGGAACGAGTGCATCTTCCAAGATTCTCAACCTAACATGGTAGAACTTCTTGAAGTTATCATTATTAGGCTAGCAATCTGGTTAAAAGCCACGTCCTCGGATCTTCCTTTTTCTGTAACTGATTTTCTGCATAATCTGGAGCAAATCAGATTTTGTTTGGGTAGGAGAATGTAAGGCTGTATTATCTAAAGGGCCTGTTCCGTTCTATTATGATGGTTGCTGCTGGTGGCCGCAATGGTATGCGCAAGGGTCTGTTCTGTTCTGCTATGCTAAAGGGTCTGTTCTGTTCTATTATGGTTTGGCCTCGTTTTCTGCTCTGCTGTCTGTTTTTTGTCTAATTTTGTATACTGTTATCTGCTGGTGCTTACTGCTGTTATCTGGGTTGATTGTTGTGTGCCCATCTTGGGTAAGTTTGGGTGTGGTCCTGCAGGTGGATGGATAAGTTGGGCTGTTATGTCTGGCAGTAGGTTTCTTATGCCAACTCAAGGGCTGTGATGGTCTGTATTGGTGTGAGTCCTGGGAGTCCTGGGAGTGTTTCAGGTAGAACAAAATTTTGTTGGTTGCTTAAGGACCTCTGTTAATAGTGGTGATAATAGAGAGAGGTTCGAGAGTGTTATGCTGGGATTGGGTGATTGCAAGGTCTTTTTGTATTTTGGTTGTCTCTCGTTGGTCTCTCACCAACTCTGGGGGTGCTAGCAAATGATAGAATGAGCTAGTTTGGTGCCAACCTCGTTGGGATGATCTAGCCCATTGTGATGCCTTTGCACCTCCCTCTTGTCTTTATTGATGTAATTCACTTTGTACATTGTACTGGTTTTTCCATCAATAAAGTCTTTTTCTTGCTGTTTCAAAAAAAAAAAGAAACACTTGTGTGAGAATCAAGTAGCAGTCAGTCAACTAATTCAACTACAAAACTCACCTTTTAAAAAGTACAGCAATATCGACGCACAAAATAAATAAATAAAAGGATAAGATGAACACTAAAGCAATTGTGAGGGTTTTATGATTCAAAAAATCCCTAATTCATCAAAACAAAAAGTACACCAATGTGTAAGATGAACACTGCTTGAGCAAAAATGATTTGAGATTTAAAATCCTTGCATTAGTCAATTAACAATGCACACAACACAACAACTTGGTTGTCCATATAAGCCTCACAGAGCTCTAGTGAGGCCATTCCTAACCCACCATAGTAGCACGAAAGAGAAACACATAACTACTTCACTATTTTCATTCTGCACACATCAAGTTAAAATGACTCATCAAATCTGAATTCCTATCAGCACTCATTCGCAATCAGGCTCAGCCATATCTATGTAGTGAAATTTAGACCTAGTCATCTAAATCCTATTTGACAAACATATAATAATCGCCATCAAATTCATAAGTTTTTCAGACAAAACAAAATAGAAATCTAATGTACCTACATCAAATGTTGAACAGAACATCAAATAAATTTTTTAGTTACATGAGACTGAAGCAAATATTAAAACACAAAAACTTGATGAAAGCTCTCCGAGACTATTACCAAAAACAATATCCACAAATAATTGGCCACGTGCACATTAAGGCAGAATTTAGAAATTACCATATCAAAAACACTCAAGACGAACTTGGCAATACTACTAAACACACTTTCTCAAACAATCTTGTAAGCCTTGTCTGAAATTAGATTCTCGAAAGAACGGAAACCAACATAACCCATCACTCTGTCGGTTAATACCGCAATAGCCTTACCAATCTTGATGTATTGTCCTTCTTCGATTGGCCCACACCATGAGTAATCATGGACTGCCTAAAAATATAAATTTGGTAAAATTCAGGGATTGAAGGGCAATGCACAATAAGTGAAGTAAAAACGAAAAAAAGGTTAAATATACCTTCAGGTAAACTACAAGCAATATCATTCCTTATTTTTATACTTCAAATTCCACACCTACCAATGCAGGTTTTACTGTTGGACAAAAGGGACTAACGGCAAACTGACTCAACATCAGTTAACATCCTTGAGTACAAATTAACTATTATTGTGTTAATCTTTAATGGAAACTCAGCACAAATCACCCAAGAATACAAGTTTTGGCGAAAGCTAGTGTGCTTAATCAACTATGCCCATTTGCCCTTCTGCAAAGGCAATTTCTGAGAATGGATCATGAAAATTATGCTGGCTTCAATAATCAATCTAGCGTTTAGATAGCGTTGTCCAAAGTGCAGTCAGTTATCAAAAGTGATTATCAACCTAGATGGGAGTACTGCAGACTGCAGTGAAAGTAATAATAATTGAATTACTTTATGACAATACATACACACACTCCAAGAGACATCATGATTTAGCATTTCGTAATGTCGAGATGAAAAAAAAGAGTAAGAAATGAAACCATAATATGCTCCACGATCATACATTAAACAGAAAATAAGTTTCTTATTCATCAATATTTCATAATATGCCCCCATAATCACAAAATCACTAGACAATGAAGTTTCTTATCAAAATAAAATTTAAAGAAAAAAGAATAAGTTTAATGTTCCTTGAATAGAATAGAATTCAAAATAAATTTAAAAATTCCATTACCACCTCTGTCTCTCAACCTACGTTACTTGGATCATTATGCTACATACAATGGGACCTAAAACAAGAACATAACACACCACATGCACTAAAATGTGATACAATAGGCGTAGACTTGTATAAATTACAATATTAGAAGTTAAGGTACTTCTAGAGCGATTTACTTTCAACAATTAGGGATGGCAAAATTACCCGACCTGATTATATTTGTTCCAGCCCAATTTTAATTTTAAAAAATTGGGAGAGCATTGATAAGGTAGGGTGATGTATAGAGGTAGGTAGATAAAAATTGTCAAAGTTAGGGTAAAGTATGAAATCATATCGTTAAAATAGTTGAGTTTAAAGTCAAGAATTCGAGCGCGAAACCCCAAAAATCCCGACCAGTTTCCATCGCTATCAACGATTAGATATACAATAAAAAATATTATATGTTTTTCAATTGATCATGAAAAAACCCCTTTTTATTAGCATTATCAACATTTTTTCCTTCAAAAACTTCGACACTTCTAAGACTAGTTCATTATATTTATATTTTCCACTAAGGAAACTGAAGGAAAAAAATTTGGAATCGCTTTGGATCGATAATTTATTGCTTTGGAACAAAAGTGTACCATATTTCAAAACGTGCATCCAAAATGTATTACCGTATCTCATAACACTTGGCAAAGGCTATATTTCTTCTTAGGCTTGTCCTTCCTAAAATGCTTTAGTAGTAATTAGAAAAGTCAGAAACACCTTGAATCAAAAAGCTAAAAAAATCAAGAACACACACTGATGAAATAAACAACTAATTTACAGACCAACTCCAACAAATGGTTGTCTTCTTCCTTTACCTGATTAGTATGACACAAGCAAGAAACCTTTCGGATGACTTTGCCTCTTCCTTCAGGCTCCAATGTTTGCCTAGCCTTCCTTTTTCCAAGATGAGTCTCATATTCTTCAAGTGTCATCACCTAAAAAAGAGACAGCAAAAGAAAGGGGGATTTAAGATCAAATTCTCACACAGGCAAGTGTATTAAGCATTCTACAATGAGTGACCCAATACCCTTGTGTTGTCTTCTTTTTTTGGAACTCTTACAGCATAATAATCGAGTATCTACTTGGCAAGCCATATTTCGTTTAGACACAATTAGAGCAGCTTCCCTGTTTAAGAATGAGTAATCAAATATAGGTGAAGAAGAATGATAATTTGTTATCCAAAAAGAAAAAAAAGGCATTGAGGTGCTTACAAAAAGATGCACCATAATTATAAACAAGATTTTAGGCGCATCTACATTACCAAGGAGTAAGGACTCTTAAGAAGTCAATTCCCTTGGTCTGAATCATGATGGGCCAATTTTGTTGGTTTGAAGCTATATATGTACATTCCTTTATCGACAAAACAAATAGATAAGCCAACACATCCATGAACGAGAAAGGATGAAGTTAAAATTTCAAGGTACTAGTTCAGTAGGAAGGTGTTTCCCTAAGAACTACTAAAGCATTAACGATGAGCATATATAGGAAACCAATTAGGTAAAATAACTCGGGAAAACTGGGAACATAAACAAATATTGTTTTAAGACATGAAGCAACAAGGTAAGGACTACAAAGACGCACCATCCAACTTAATTTTCCATCATTCACATATACCACACTACGCTTATCAAAAGAAAATATGGTATACAATACATTAGACTAAAAAAGACGTACAATTAATTGTATCTAAATAGCCTAAACATCTTAAAGATAAGGTAGTAACAATTACGAGAATTGGAGGCAGAACATAATCATGTTAATTAAACTTGTAATTGGAGAAAGTATAATTACTGTGATTAGCACCTATATCCCACATAGGATTGGAGGAACATATTAAAAACACAATTTTGGGATTAACTAGATGAGTTAATGCAACAAATATCTATTTTATAAAAAATAAAAATAATTATGTGGATATTTCGACCATTATGTGAAAAAAGATAAGCAAGAGTACAAGAGAGTACATAATGGACATGGTTTTGGGAACTAAAAACAAGGCCACAAACTTACATTTCTCACTAACATTTTGTTCTTATAGTAAACAATACCTTCTTGAGAGAGAGAGAGAGAGATAGTAAAAATACACTTCAATCACTTTTTAAAATGTGTTAAATAAGAGTAAAATAGATTTTTTCTTGCAAGAAAAACATGTTGCTTAATACGCAAAGGTTGCAAGTTTATACCCGGAGAGAGTTCAATGTCACAACACAAGCTAACAATACTGGATATATAAAGCAACTATCAAAATCAGGAAAGAAAAAAAACTCTATTCATGCACAAAAGTGATATGATCATTGTCAATAGAAATGTCTAAGGAAGGAGAAGACCTAAATTGACATGTAGTTTGTGGTAGTACAAAATTATATGAATTATTTAATTTAACTTAACACAACTCTTGATAGAGCAAAATGGCCAAAAGAATCATGTGGCAAACCCTATTTGATGAGAACACAAGGCTTGTTTGGTTTGGTTCGATCATCCATAGTGGGTGCTCAAATTGAACCCCCTACTATTAGTAAATTTATATTTAAACACAACAAATTAAGTGAGGCCTTCATAGACCGAAAATCCCTCAACCATTGAATGAATTATGAACCACCAAAAAACTAGTCAAATGAAGCATCTCTCTAAAACAGCAACAGACCGTCCTACTACCAAACTCATGGTCTAAGGATCAACCATTCACTCAGGCAACTTCAATAATAAAAAAAAACGGAGGTACATTGTGAATTGTGTTCTCTGCCAGTGGAGCACAACGAATAGTAGTGCTTACTCGTTATTAGGCAGAAGAAACAAAACAAATTATAGATTGTGTCATGTAATGCAAAAGAAAATCAACCTTTTCCATAAAATAAGGATTAGCAAAAAGGGGGAAGAGGAGTAGAAGCAAGAGAGAATAAAAAAATAAAAATACACCAACTATAGTGTGGGGAGAGAAATGAAAACAGGATTTCAATCTAAAATCAATATTAGTTACAATTTTAGCAATTGTCATTAATAATTACTATTAATAAATACTAGTCACTTTGTTAGTCCAAAATTTCATTTTTGGATGTCCCAACAAAACAGCAACAGACCGTCCTACTACCAAACTCATGGTC